GACCGTTGGAATTATTACGATAATAATTACGACCGTTTCAAACGTTATTATCCAATTATTAAATCTTGGATTTATGATTGGATTAATGGCCATTATAATGTTTTAATTCCTTTTCCCTTACAAATAGTTGTGGATGTTGGCAGAATGAATTTTACTCCATTTTGAAACTCTCAAAACTTTTGTTTATTTTCTCTCCAACTCTCCTGCTCGATTACAAAGGAAAAAAAAAAAGAAATTCTGCCATCATCTTCCGTAAAACATCGGAGTGCTCAGCTTGTGTTCTAGTTCGCCGGGCTTTGGGTTGGAGTGCTCGAACGCCGAAGTCGTAGTCCGTTTTATCCTGGGAGACTGACGCCACAACGATCCTAGCACCCTCGGGAGGTGGCGAATCGGTTTTAAGGAGAGTGTGTGTACACACGACTCGGGCTTCCTCTGCTTCATCTTTCTCCTCGTTGGGTTAAAACCACAGGTTAGAAACCCGTTCTTGCTTTTATTTTGTTCTTGGTTTCGGACCAAGTGGTGGGATTAATCTTAGATAGATTAAATCCTTGTACTAGTTTTGTACTAGTTGTGGTGGGATTAATTTCGTGGAAATTAAGTCCCGTGTACTAGTTTCGTACTAGTTGTAGTGAGATTATTTTGATAAAATAAATCCCTATTTGGTTAATATATATACGAGGTATATATATATATATGTAATTTTGGTTTCGTACCAAAATTGTTTGGAATTAATTTTCTATAAATTAAATTCCATTTTTCGGGACAATTATATTATATTATATATATATATATATATATATATATATATATATATATATATATATATATATATATATATATTCTGTGTATCGATTTATTCATCAATATCCAACATTGCAGATAAAAATGTATATAGTTTTTCATGATATAAAATACCTTGATCCACATGAACTCCAGAAGAGTGATAAAATATTTGTTCAGAAGGTTTGCTCCAGTGACAAGTTAGCAAATGTATACCTACAAAATATCCATAAGATTGATATATGTAGGTAAAGAAAAATTATTATATTTAGGGTGAGCAACAAAATATAAATTATAAATAATTTTATTGGTCCAGATGATCATGAGAAAATATGATAAATTCTAATGACAATCCTGAAGATTGTACCATATCTCATTCTCTACACCCTTTAGAAACAATGATTTACAGGCAATTTAGAATTTGAAGATTGTTATCTTCAGGGGGAGACAGGAAGTACATTCACTCGAGTCAATCCTGTAAATTGGTCAATCATGTAGATTGGGTCTTAAAAGAACTAATAGTTATACTTTTTGCAGCATATACATACCATGTACTCTTTTTCCTCACTAGGTTTTTCCCAATGGGTTTTCTAGTGTGGTTTTTAACGAGGCATGGGTATGATATATTAATGACAATGGGGAAAAGTTGCAAAATAATTGGTTAATAAATGAACAAACTCCAAAATCCTGAAGATTATGCCCTGAAGGCTTATGGTGTACTCTTTTTCCCTTAACTAAGTTTTTCCCACAGGGTTTTCTTAAGTTAAGGTTTTTAATGAGGCGACCAATAGAATATATGTTTTACATATATTATGTACTCTTTTCTTCAACTAGGTTTTTCCCACAGGGTTTTCCTAGCAAATTTTTAATGAGGCAAGGTCATGGACAAATAATGTCCAAGGGGGAGTGTTATAAATAGATTTATGGTGGACATTAATAATAGTTTTGTAACGTTTGTAACGAATGTAACGGATGTAATTATCATTCATTATTGTATGTCTTTATGGTATCTTGTATATATATCATTGTACTATGATGAATGAGATATATAGAGATATCCTCCTTTCTCCCTGGTCTATTCTCTGTATATTCTTTTAACAATATTTATGTTGATAATTATTAATGATAAACATGCAATCAATTATCCAAATATTCAATAATTAATGTCAAAGAAGTAGGAATGCAAGGTGGGTTTGTAAAGATAGTGATGACAGCCAATTCAAAAGAGTCCAAAGCATTTGGAACGGTCGGTCCCTACTTTGCGTGGAAATGTGAACTTCGATCTTTTGAGAAAGATTCCTTTCGTTTCAAAGCTTTAGCTAGCTAGGTTAGTTTGATAGTAAGAAAGGATGATTAATTAGTGGAGGAACAAGAAGCCAGCATTAATGGATTCCGCCATGATGATAAGCATTATATTGCTGGGTTTGATTGGGACTTCTTGAATTGGGTGCTCTCATAGTCTCATTGACAAATTATAATTGCAAGCTATACCACAGATTACTATTTTTTTGTCAGCATGGATTTAGCTTAATGGTTCAATAGATAATATTTCAAAGAAGAGATTAAGGTTCAAACATTGGAGATAGCGACATTTGACCATGTCTACTGAGTCATTTAGTTATTGTGATTTACATCCTCTCAAATGCTCTGTCGAGAGAAGATTAATATTTGACGTCTGATCATATCTGCTGAGTCATTTAGTTACCGTGATTTACACCCTCCCAAATGCTCTGTCGGGTCAGGTGAAAGATTAAACCTTTTTGAGAGAAGAAGATTAATATTTATTTTTAATGTAGTAAAAGTCTATTTTTAGATAATATATTGGGAATAATAAATAAAGGTCGATTTAATATCACAAAATAATATTTATATATACACACGAAATATATAAAATATTATTCGATATATATATATATATATATATATATATATATATATATATATATATATATATATATATATATATATATATATATATATATATATTTGTGTGTGTGTGTGTGTGTATTCAAATGAGGACAAGTATATTATAGAGGATTGTGAGGACAGATGTAGTGTGTGCCATTAGCCGGTATGTCGTGTGCATAGCCGAATGTAGTCGTGTGCCACAGTTTGTATGTCGCGTGCTAGATTTGTTAATTTATAGAGCCTTGGTTCAAAACCTGATGTTTACATTTATTCTTGTGTGCCATTATGTATTAAGTTGTGTGTTTGATATTAATTTGTTGTGTGCCCATTATTTGTCCTCATAGTCCTCTATATATTATTGTCCTCATTTGAACTCAACCATATATATATATATATATATATATATATATATATATATATATATATATATATATATATATATATATATATATCAACCAAAATTATAACTTATAATCCTCAAATTATAATTCCAATCCAACAAGAAAGTAGAAAGAATTTTGCTTAGAGCATAATCCAAAACAAAAAAGAAGGAGAGGAAGAAAGATGGTAAGTACGAGTCAGGCGAAGTGCCCTTTTTCCTTAAAACCTTATTTGCCACCTCCCAAAAGTACTAGGAGCGTTGTGGCCTAGGCTTTCCAGGATAAAACTTCGATGTTTGAGCACCCAAATGAACGAACCCGGCGAACTAGAGCACGGGCAGAGCACAGCTTCAAGAATGGAGTATGAACGAACTCGGCGAACTAGAGCACGGGCAGGACACAGCTTCAAGAATGGAGTAGGAGCAGAGTTTTTGAGAGAGTAAAAACTATTGTGTGTTGCGTCTCTTACTGTACGAAAATCTGCTGCTACACCTACTCCTTATATATGGATGTTGGACTTCAATAGCATTGAATATGGCCATTAAACTTGGCTTTGTAACATCCGAAACAACAAGCCATTACTTGGGAGTTAAAATCAAAATTGAAATTAATTTTGTAACTACTAAAGAATTTAAACCCAAATTAGTCCCAGCACACACAAACTTAGACATTATTAGATTTGCACTCCCACCCTGCACACGAGAGAAAACCTCTATGATATACAATTCAATAAGGTTTTAAAAGACTATTGTATAAATAGTGGGGCAAATCCTCTTCCCAAACCAATGTGGGACAAAAGCTCATTTTTTTCCCTTCATTTTTCCAACTCAATGGGTACTTTGAGAATCAATATCTCATTCACTCATTCTCCGTTTTGAGCGTACAATATATCAATCTCTTCGTCTCACTACGAAGAACCCGAATCCACTATGACCCGATTCAAATTAGAAGTGGACCCAACTGATAATTATACCACAAAATAATCACTTAAAATGTCATTTAATGCTATTTTTCCAATACTTTAAATATATTAAAAATAAACCTTTAGTAGATTAAAAACAATGCAACCATGATCCATGGTAATATGATTTGCTCTCATATATCCAAGATGGCTATTGATCATATCCCAGAGATTCTATTATTATATTTGAAGTGGTAGTGAATCTTTTATATTTTAATACGATTTCTTGATGTCTACTTTTTAGATTGTGACCTGAATCTTTTATATTTTAATACGAATTCTTGATGTCTACTTTTTATTTTTTATTTTTTATTTTTTAATTGTGATCTTAACATTATATTGCTTTTTATAATGACGTGCTTTATTATGAAATGAAATAAATGCATGTACATGAAAGCACCAATGGCTATTTTTTTTTTTTTTTTATACCCATGATTTTTACTGTTGCATACAATGACTAATCTCTTTCCTGGATTATAGGTATCTCTTTTTGGATGGGACAGCTGGCCTAGAGATTTAAAGCTGCTCCATTCCCAAAGCCAATGATCGAACCCTTAACCTTTGGTTAAGGATAGATGAGTCCCTTCCACCCCCCTCTAGCAGGTTACCAATGGCTTCTCTAATTTACTTAAAAGTCGAACTATCTCTTCCAAGCAATTGACCGGACTGTTTTGGAGACTATCCTTAAAAAGGATACCTCTAAGGACATTTGGAATTCTCTGAAGAAGAAATGCCATGGAAACAAAAAGATGAAGAGGCTGCAGCTTCAGAACTTTCGATCGGAGTTCGAAACACTTCGAATGAAAGAAGGCGCGAATTTCACAGATTTTTATTCAATGACTATGGCAATAGTCTAAAAGTTGTGAATCCATGGTGACAAGACTGAAGATAGTGTTGTTGTCGAGAAGATACTTCGCTCTATGACAACAAAATATAATTTTGTTGTCTGTGCAATAGAAGAGGCAAATGAAATGGATGAGATGACACTAGATGAACTTGAAAGTTCCATTCTAGTTCATGAAAGAAAGTTGTGTTCGCAGGATAGTGAGGGTGAGCAAGCATTGAAAGTTTCAACTCAAAACCAACCTTCATCATTTAATGGTGCTAATCGAGGAAGAGGCTGTGGGAGAGGAAGAGGAGGACATGCCCGTGGCAAACATCAGAATAATATGTCTCATGGACGAAGGAGCGGGAGGGGCAAGTCACCAGACAAGTCCAACATTGAATGTTATCGCTGTCACAAGTATGGACATTATCAAAATGAATGTCGTACGAATTTGAATAGACAGAATGGAGAAGCAACGAATTTTGTCGAAAAGAAGGAAGAAGTTTCTGAAGAGATTTCTCTTCTGATGGCATGCCATGTAGATGAAGCAGCCCATCAAAACTTATGGTACTTAGATTCTGGTTGTAGCAATCATATGTGTGGAGATGAGAAGGTGTTCTCTGAATTAAACACTTCTTATCGAGACACTGTTAAGCTCGTCAATAATTCTATAGTACGTGAGATGGGAAAAGGAAATGTTGCAATCCAAATCAAGGAGAACTCTACATACACCTATTGAAGTGGGTCTTAAGCTTGTTCAAAATCCAGAAGTGAAGGGGGTTGACAACACTCTTTACAAGCAGTTAGTAGGGAGTTTGATGTATTTGACAATTACAAGGCCAGATGTTATGCATGTTGTAAGTCTGATAAGTAGGTACATGGAAAATCCAAAGGATGTTCATCTTTTGGCTGTGAAACGGATTCTTTGTTACTTGAAAGGAACGGAAAATTATGGTTTATTCTACAAGAAAGATGAAGAACCAAATTTATTTGGTTTTACTGATAGTGATTATGCAGGAGACATAAATGACAGGAAGAGTACTTCAGGATATGTTTTTACGATTGGTTTCGGAACTATCTCGTGGTCTTCAAAAAAGCAACCTATCGTTACATTGTCAACCACAGAAGCGGAGTTTGTAGCTGCGGCTGGTTGTGTTTGCCAAGCAGTTTGGTTAAGGAACATTCTTGAAGTACCGAATTTCAAACAAGGAGGAGCTACTCCAATTTATTGTGATAATAGTTCTGCCATCAAGTTATCCAAGAATCCAGTTTTACATGGAAAAAGCAAGAACATAGATGTGAGGTTTCACTTCCTTAGAGATCTGGCAAGAGATGGAACAATTGAACTAATTTATTGCAAGAGTGAAGATCAACTTGCTGATATAATGACGAAGCCATTAAAGTTGCTTGCATTTTAGAAGCTAAGGAAGATGCTGGGAGTTTGTGAGTATAATTAAACTGAATGTCTTCAGTTTACCAAAGGGAATGTTGAATAAATTAGTCAGCTTTTAGTCCTAGTTTTATGGCATTTATTCACAGTTGTAGCACATGGAAAGACTCTCCTTGATTGTAGGAATATTTTAGCTTGTTTACGTTAATGTAATATTTATATAAAAGCAATTCAATAATAATAATGCAGTACAGTATTCTTCCAATATATCTTCCTCTGTTATACTGCTTGCTTCTAACAGTAGTTTCCTTTCAGCACAACTAAAGTTTAATTTTGTTTCAACTACAGTATCATTCGACATTATACATAAAATGGTCTTATTACAGTGAGACGTGTAACATGTTATTGAATTTTATTTTATACACACTGTAGTCTTATTACAACACCACTAAATTATAATTCTAATTCAACTACGATTTCATTGGATAATACACTCAAATATGTGAAACTGTTATTCAGTTTCATTTTATATACACTATAGTTTCATTGCAACACAACTAAAGTTTCATTTTGATATAACTACAGTTTCATTTGACAATATTCACTCAATATGTGAGACATGTTATTCAGTTTTATTTTATACATACTGCAGTTTCATTTCAACACAACTAAAGTATCATTTCAATTGTTTTTTTTAAGTATCATTTCAATTCAACTACATCTCTACTTGACAATATACACTCAATATGTGAGACATGTTATTCAGTTTCATTTTATACATTCTGTAGTTTCATGTCAACACAACTAAAGTATCATTTCAATTCAATTACAATTTCATTTGATAATATAAACACAATATGCAAGACAAGTTATTCAGCTTCATTTTAAATATACTGTAGTTTCATTTTGTTATGCAGAAAATATAAAATTTTTTAAAATTTAACGACTGTCGTGTCTTTACTTAAAAAAATTGCGCCATTTTCGGACCATTGTGGACGGTATAACACCCTAAGGGCTCGTTTGGTTCGCGGAAAATATTTTAAGGGAAGTGGAATTGAAATTCCATGGAAAAACAATTACTAAGAAGATGAATTTCATTGTTTGGTTGGTGGAAAAAGAATTACTGGGAATACTAATTCTATTGTTTGGTTAGATTTGGAGTTGTAAGGAATAACGAGTATAAAGACATATATGTCCCTACAAATTAATAAAAGTAATATAATTAAAAAAAGTAAACAAGAGTAAAATAGGCATTCCATCTCACTTTTTCTTTCCATCTTCCATAGAAAACAAAATCCTTAGTTCAACCAAGGATTTTGTTTTTCTCAAATTTGAGGAATTCATTTTCCAATGAAAAATAAATTCCATGAATCAAACACAAAAAAATAACATTTTCCCCACTTTAAGAAAAATATTTTTCTTTAGAAAACACTTTCCATGAACCAAACATCACATCAGATTAAGCCATAATTATTGGTGTTCAAATATTCAAATAAACAGTGGACCGACTATGCATGGCCAGCCGCAGAAATTATAGTTTCATTTCCTTTTTGAAATTCTGTTCCGACAGTTCGTAATCAGATATTTAATTCTTCAATGTTGCGTCATATTTTGTGATTATTAAATTGAACCGAATTCACTACTCAATTTATAATTTAGTAATATACCATATATGAGTGACTCGATTTCACGTAAGACAAATCAAATCAAGATAAAAATGTAATATTTTTATATCAAAAAATATAATATATATTAACTAGTAAAAAAATATACTCAGTAATACTTCTACATACATTTCTCGAGTATATAATAACTCATAAATTATATATACAAGGTAAACGATATATAAGCTCGAGAGTCGAAAGAGAGTGTTGCTAAAAATTAAACTTATGACTTTTAAGTACGATAAACATACTTACATACTTCACTAACTCGGCAACTCATTTCAAATTGTAGTTAAATATATGTTAACTTTACGTGCGGTTCACCCTAATGCCTCCTTTTCCGAGTGACGTTCATGAAAGACCATCTTTCAATCATGCATATATATACTCCATTGTTGCAACTAATTAAAAATTTAAGGAAAAAAAAGAGAGGATAAATGTCGTCAGGGAAGCATAGAATGAAATTGATATTCTATCGTTTATTGCATGCAATCAGTAATCTACAGGCATACAACTAATATTAAATTACCCATTATTGGATATAAATTTAAAAAATTAATGTTTGTCACTATTTTAATAATACGTATTAAAATAACCATTTAAGAAATTTTAGAAATAGAAATAGAAATAGAAATTTAAATAAATAAATAAATAAATAAATAAATAAATAAATAAATAAATAAATAAATAAATAAATAAATATATATATATATATATATATATATATATATATATATATATATATATATATACATACATACATACATACGCGCTTAGGCTTAAGCTTAGGCTCTGCATGAAGAAGGCCGGAAATTAAGGAGAAATATGAGTCTTTGATCCGTCCAAATCAACAGCTCTAAAAAAAAAAAAAAGCTTCTAATCTACACAACATTATCTTCTCCAGTAAAATCATCCTTGATCTAATGACTTTGCATTCTGTTCAAATCATGGAAGGCTTAACAGTACAGTGTACACCGGAAAGCTCAACAATGTGTTTTGGAAGGCTCAACAATGTGCTTTGGAAGACTCAACAATGTATTCTGGAAGGCACAAAATGCTTATTAGTCTTCACGCGCGGGATTATTGAAGCCGTTTCTTGAACTTGTTTCCTTTCCTCTTTCATGGGATTTAGCAACGGGTCTATTGGGTATGTTAACAATGTACATTGGAAGACACAACAATGTGCACTACAAGTCACAACAATGTGCACTTAAAGACAAAAATAATGCACCCAAAGACAATAAAAATATGCACTTAACAACGGGTCTGTTGAACCGGCATGTTAAAAATGTTCACTGGAACGCACAATAATGTACACTTGAAAGCTAAAATTAATTCACCTAAAGACCAAAAATATGTACTTACATACAAAAATTACGAAATTTCCATTGCATATTTTTAAAATTTTTCTTCATTCTAGACAGTTGATCATTCATTTTGTGATGGATAAATGATGACCACTGTTGGGAAATTGGTCAGAATATGTCGTAGATCTAGGCTACTGTTTATATTGGCTGAGTATAGAAGAAATCCTGAATCAATCGGTGACGTGCGCAAGACACTACCTTAAAAGCAAATATTGACCTGAGACGGTAACAGTCTTACCGGTTGCTTTCGACCAGTTAACACCGAAGCTCAGGATTGCAAAAGAGAAGAAGAGAAGAATGTATTGAGCGTTTAGAGCTCAGGGAGGAGCAGGGTATTTATAGCTATAGAATTACCTACTCCTCCTCTCTTAGCCATTAAATTTCCACTAAAATAGGGGAGTGGTGGAGAGGACCACATTTGTAGGAGTTAAACCTCACTCCACAATTTATTGTGGATGGAAATAATTCACACTTATTTGGGTGTTATTCCCAACATCCCCCACACACTCAACAAGTGTGAATGCAGTCGATGTCTGAGCGGAAGTGAGCGCTGACCTTAATGCCAGTGGTTTAAACCTTGAACTGACACGTAGTGACTTGAGTAACTTTCTCCTTAGTAGTGAATTGAATCTTGAACTAGCAAAGGAGAGGTAGTTTTGAACTCATGTGCACACATCAGCACCCACTATGCAGGTTCTTCGGAAGTCAAACTCTTTGACTTGTGGTCTACCTCTGTGTAGACCCTAGCTTAGAACATCTCATGTTCAGTTGCTTTATGAGTACGTAAGCTTGGCCTACTTTGTTGATTTTAAGCTCATTTCCTTCGACGTATCGAGGACGGCCTTTCTATTTAGTCCTTTAGCGAGAGGATCTGCTATTCTTCTCGGGCTCCATATACTCTAATGTGAGTGCTCCAGTCGTAATCAACTGTCTTACAGACTCATGTATGACTGTAATGTGCCTTCTTTGTGAGTTACAGTGTATGGGCATAGACGGTGTAGCACACCCCCACCATGGCACGTCTGCCAATAGGTCTCTCAGCCACTCGGCTTTTTGCCCAACTAGATCAAGAGGTATAAATTCATTCTCCATTGTTGATCTAGCTTATACAAGTCTGTTATATCTATCTTAATATAGACTTCCACCATGTCTAAGTCTATTTCACCATAGACTTTTAACTCTGACAAGTCTAATCACATTATAGTTTTTTTATGTCTTGTCAAGTCCATCTCAATATAGACTTTTAACTCTATCAAGTCTATCTCAGTATAGACCACCTTTAAAGGCTTATAGAGTAGTTCAGTACATAAATCAGTTGTAAGTCTTTTCTTTCTATCATAGGCATTGTTCTTTGCAATGTAAACTACAGTTTGTGAATCACAATGTATATGTAGTGAAGGTGTTAGCTAGACACCCCCAAAACTCCACGTTTATCAACGTATTTCTTAGCCACTCAGCTTCTTGGGATAACCCCATTATCTTTCATAAGAGGCGGTTAGCCCTTTTTCTACTCATGTTAGGGATCTCTTTAGGTTTACCTCAACATAGACCATCCCAATTGAGTATAAGCCACCAAGAGCACTTTGTACTCATGTCATTATGCGGTGAATTCATTAGGTTTGTCTCAACAAAACCACCCTTTCTGAAAGAGTTATGAATTCATTAAGAGCTGTAGCTCAACCTCACAAGTACACACACTGTCGGTGACCAACTAGTGTACTATTTTGTAACTCTTTTCATGGCTTCGCTTGACCACAGAAGTGGGATCCACCACGAATTCATTACCACTTGGACTTTAAGTCCTTCCAATGAGTCAACGACTAATCCTCATAATTAGCCCTCAAGTAAGTTGATTCTCTTGACCAAACTTACATGCACTTTGACGAGTACTTTGTTTACTCGTAAATAATCCCTTGATATTTTCATGTTTAACATGAAACATTCTCTTTCATCATTATTCTCAATACCACAGAGAAACTTCTGATGAGAATATAAGGAGTTTATTACCCCCACAATGCAACACTTACAAATATTTGTTGTCAAATGTATTTGATCTCTTACCCAGACTGATCTTTGGTGCCCAACATTAGCTCCTTTGTAGACTGAGTTTTGCCGATTTGCTTTGTGGAGCATTATAGAAGCTTCGCACTCTGCCTGATACATGCTCAACAGTTGAATATATTTCAACAAACTTGGTTATCTCAATTGATCACAATTACCCTTTAATTAGGAATTATAGGTATTTCAATATGACTCAAGCAAGAGTTTAAATAATATATATATATATATATATATATATATATATATATATATATATATATATATATATATATATATATATATATATATACAAACGCTCATTGTTAGTAAGCCATAGTAATAATGTTGTCTACATGCTACATCAAGTTGAACAACATAATCACAAATTTCACATCATATTCTTTTAAGAAATTAATGTTATACACAAGGAATATGTTCGAGCTCATATTTATTCGGAAATATCTCTCAACAATGAGACTTCAGAGTTGCCACTTGCACAATTTTCCATTCCCTTGAGAAAATTAAAACTCATATAAAGCCTTCATAAGATGCAGATCAATATTACTATTGCAGTACTTCAACAATTTCTATTGCAAGGCTTTGATTAACAACATATGAGAGTCAACCTCATTTCAGGTGAAGATCAAGTGGCGTTCTAACTAGCCTGCATGATCAACACCATACTTCTTAAATCTCCCAGGTCGAGTGGTGAAACCGAAGTTTTCTTAAAAACCATCTTCCTACACAGAGTATTCAAGAACAATGACTTTTCCATGTTACCACCATAAATGTGAGTAAAGCCTTTGAAATTAAACTCAGTACACAATTTAAATATTTAAGATTATGTGACTATAATATAGTATGTATCTCATCAAATAGTGCAATGTTTGTAACATATCCACAATAATAACACATAATGTTGTAAATTGACATGTGCATAAGTACACAATTTATAGACTTTATATCATATTGATGATTTAATCACTTAGCAGTAGTATTAAATCATCACTTCTAACACAACAAATTCATAAAGCTCATATATGTGAATAATAACAATTCACTTATCTTCGTGTACACCGCTGTTAATTTTCTATATAATATTCAAAGCACTCACTATACAAAATATGGAATGGTGATTTCTAAAATGCTTGTCACAATATATATTTCACGTTTAACATGCTCTCAAAAGATAATAATCAATTGAATGCAAAGATATAGGCAAACCATCTTCTAAATTATGTCATTATGATAATTTTAAAGGACATGGTCAATGCCAATAATATATGACTACTAATGCTCAAGATAATCATTTGCATATGATAGTCTATTATCATATAAGTATGCATGTGCCATATTAAAATATGAGGAGGCAAATATCATTGGCAAGACTGAGCTATGCAAAGAGTATACATGAGTGTTTCCCAGTTATCTAACGCATAATCACTTTTTGATCTCATTTTGTGAAGAACATCATATATAACATTTTCGAACAACTCTAAATCCAAGAAACACATGCCTACACATAGACATAACAATATGCATGAGATATTGATCATCAAGATTAACTGTTTATATATCTTGGATGTTAAGAGTGAGAGAGCATGTTTAAGTAATATAATGATCTTGTTATTTCAATTCTTCAAGACCAATATGCTATAAAAGATAATTATGTGATATATCATCATCGTAACTATAACTGCTTACACTTTAAATTCAAGAGCACAAGATTTAATAATGACTAAGTCATAATATATACAGAATATTAATAATTTTGTGTGCTGAAAAGCATGTAGCTAATTATCTCTTAGTTATGTCAATCCTCATGTTGTGCACACTGAAGAGAACGAACCAAAAGATGAAATATAACGTGGTGATGACGCATGAAAATATTTCTAACACCCATTAAAAGAATTAACACACACACACATGTATTAAAGAAATAATACTTAGCTCAGAGTTCGACAGACTTGAAGTGGATCATCATCTTAATCGCCTACCGGCAGTAGTTCAGACCGGTGAGAGGTTCGAGCTTGGCGAGGTCAGAGGAGGTTTAGATTCGAAGGTCGACATGATAACTTAAGCACATATATTTGCTTTTAACTGTTGGGAAATTGGTCAGAATATGTCGTAGATCTAGGCTACTATTTATATAGGCTGAGTATAGAAGAAATCCTGAATCAATCGGTGACGTGCGCAAGACACTACCTTAAAAGCAAATATTGCACGGAGACGGTAACAGTCTTACCGGTTGCTTTCGACCAGTTAACACCGAAGCTCAGGATTGCAAAAGAGAAGAAGAGAAGAATGTATTGAGCGTTTAGAGCTCAGGGAGGAGCAGGGTATTTATAGCTATAGAATTACCTGCTCCTCTTCTCTTAGCCATTAAATTTCCACTAAAATAGGGGAGTGGTGGAGACGACCACATTTGTAGGAGTTAAACCTCACTCCACAATTTATTGTGGATGGAAATAATTCACACTTATTTGGGTGTTATTCCCAACAACCACAACATTAGTGAAGACTTGAGAAAAATGTCAAATTTAATTGAATTGCATAATATTGAACAATTCAAGGACCTAATTGCACTTATTTTGAGTTGGATGACACAATTGTACTTTTAAGTGTAGTTCGATCAGTGACTAATTTGAACTATTTTTTTTTATGGTAGATTCTGACTCAACTTAGTAGTATTGAACCATCAAACATAACCATAAATTCGCAATCACTACTTGAATATATGTACTGAATCAGCTTGTAAAACAGTATCAATCAAGAGTGTGTTAGTAGATAAAAATTGAAATAATTTTAATTTTCTAATATGAGAATTATGTTCCACTCACTCACCTAATCATAATCTTTGATCTGATGTTTGATTATTCATTAGTAGTGGGATTATTTGTCGAATTTCAATTCGATCATTCACATGTATTCACACGTAACAACTGCAAAAAAAGGTGCAAGCAAGAATAAAAGATCTATTGTCTCTGATCTATAAAAGACTGACTATACTATAATAATAATATTCCCCACCACCAAAATTTGATACAATAATAATTAATTAAATATACACAATAATAATCATTGTACCTTTCGATCAGCCGTCATCCATATATGCTAAATAGTCAACTGATTTAACTGATTCTGTACTTTCCCAGTTGGATCATTCTACAAGTTACATAGGCCGGAATCAAACTAAGAATTCAATAATTGCTTGTCTTTGTCTATCTAGCTAGCAACATATACATACCACCATGCAATTATCCCTTTTGCTTTTTGCCTATAAATCCCCCTTCCATGATGCACCATTTACCACAAAACCAAACAAATTCCAATATTATTCCAACTTTCATGGCACCCAAACTCCTTTGCTACTTGCTCTTCATGCTCTTGGGAGCTTGGAGCTCTCGGCCGGCGGCTTCCTCCCGTGTAATTGCCGACGAGGAGCAGTCGATGAGGGCTCGGCATGAGCTCTGGATGGCTCGCCATGGAAAAATTTACACCGATGCTGGTGAAAAAGACGAGCGGTTCAAGATATTCAATGAGAACGTGAAACGCATCGAGGCGTTTAATGCCCGGGGCGACAAGGGGTACAGACTTGGAGTTAATAAGTTTGCAGATTTAACTAATGACGAGTTTCGTATGCTACGTACAGGTGGTTATAAGAGGGTGCAAACCAAAGTCACGTCGACCTCTTCAAAGGGAAAACATTATTTTAGGTACGAGAATGTGACGGCGGCGGGCAGTGTGTTGGACTGGAGGAAGAAAGGTGCCGTGACGCCTGTCAAGGATCAACGCGACTGTGGTACGTACGATATTAATTTCATTTGTCTTGTGTTGTTTATTTCGTGTACGTACGTACTTTTAAAGCTACAAAATAATTTATTAATTCACGTTTCTAAAGTGGAGAAAATCATCTTTTTGACTTCTCGTACTTTGAATTGTGTCGGGCTATCATCACAATCGTTATACCCTACACCACGGCGCGCGTAGCACTGTGCGCCGCGCGCCTCTCAAAACGACGTCATTTTGGGAGGCGCGGTATGAAGTTGCTGTGATTATGTATATTTGTTCACACAATTATGTATATTTGTTCATACAATTATGTATATTTGTTCATACAGTTATGTATATTTTTATACAATTATGTACATCCGAATCAGAATATTTGTGTGTATTATGTTAAGAGTTGATGTGTATTATGTTAAAAGTTTATGTTTATTATGTATTATGTTAGATTATGTGTATTACCTTTTAAAAAAGAGTATGTATATTTTGTTATATAATTATGTACATTCATGTATACAATTATGTGTATTCTAGTATAACATTATGTACATTTTTGAACATGGGTTTTTTTTAAAGAAAAATTAATTGCCATACACTGGGGCGGGAAATTTCAAATAAATAAATAAATAAATAAAACGACGTTGTTTTGCATCTGGCGCACAGTGCAACGCGCGCCGTGGTGTAGGATATAAATTGCCCTATCATCAAGTTAATTAATGAATATATTGGCCCGCATGGGTTTAACCCAATGGTACAGTATTTGGGAGAAGAGATCAATGTTTAAACCTTGGCAGGAGTTGTGGGGGGATTATGTCCAAAGTGGGGAAATCCCTTGTAGTCACCGGCATTATATCTGTCTGCTGAGTCATTGAGTCACGGTAATTTAGATCATTCTACCTTTTGGGGGATGATTAATAAATATATATATTGGGGTGGTAGGTGTTTGGTTGGGGACTTTCGCACCCTACTATAGGTTTTAATACCATGTTTATTTGTCTACTTTTGTTATTCTATAAATAGAATTATTATTTTTTTAATTACAAATCTAATTATCATTTTACTCATTTACCTTTGAATAATGGAATAAAAAATAAGAGAGAAGGAAATGAAAAAAATAAAAATAAAGAGGTCATTTTCCATACATTAAATATGAAATTATAATATATATATAGACACACAAATATATATATATATATATATATATATATATATATATATATATATATATATGTATGTATTATATTATATATATATATTTATTTATTTATTTTGATTTTAATTCTTATTTACTATCAAAATGACTTCTATTTAAACTCATTATTATTACCAAATATTTGATTATCATTACTATTCCGATTCTAATATTTGAACCAGACACATCCTAAGCTATAAAAGTAGAAAAATGCTTTTTTCCATTTTTGTAACATAGTATATTCATTTATAATTCTTGACTATCATTTGTTTTTTACTATTAATCTATAAAATTTGAATTCTTTAATACTTTTTAGTCATTTTAACTACTTTTTGCCAAACATTACCTGAAACTATCATGTGTTTGGGTGAAAGGTTTATTAAATGGATTATAAGTGATTTGGGGGCTATTATACAAAGAGTGGAGAAATAATTTTCACTTTCACTATACACAGGTTGTTGCTGGGCATTTTCGGCGGTGGCAGCGGTGGAGGGCCTGACCCAGATAAAAACCGGCAAGCTGGTGTCTCTATCGGAGCAAGAGCTCGTCGACTGCGACGTCTCCGGCGAAGACATGGGCTGCGAAGGAGGCCTGATGGAGAACGCCTTCAGTTTCATCATCCACAACAAAGGCCTCACCACCGAGACCAACTACCCCTACAGCGCCCAGGACGGCGTCTGCAACGCCAAGAAAGCCGCCGTCGCCGCCGCCAAGATCTCCGGCTACGAGAAAGTCCCGGCCGACGACGAGAAGGCGCTCCTGCAGGCCGTCGCGAGTCAGCCAGTGTCCGTGGCCATCAACGGCGCCGCATTCGACTTCCAGTTCTACCAGGAAGGCGTCTTCGACGGGGACTGCGAACCCTACCTGAACCACGCCGTGACGGCGATCGGGTACGGGACGGCCGGCGATGGCTCGAAGTATTGGTTGATAAAGAACTCGTGGGGAAATAGTTGGGGCGAAAGTGGATATATGAGGATTACAAGGGACTATGCTAAAAAAGAAGGGCTTTGTGGACTTGCTAGGGATGCTACTTATCCCGTTCTTTAAAATATCCAAAACGGAATTACTCAGTACACACTATTCATAGTCGGTAATAGAAGAAAAAGAAGTATGACAAATTAAGTCGACACTGATACGTAATAACACCGAAGATAATGTATATATATGGGGGGTGAAATATATAGTTTGAAGTGTGTATATAGTTTTCTTAAGATTAAGCAAGATACTTTAGTTTTAGGATGAGCCAAAGTTTATAGATATGCATAAGGGCTAGCTAGCTAGTTAATAGGAAATTTGCTTGATTGTTTGGACTTTGGAGGATTATATTATATTGTCTCCAATCTGTATGCCTTTATGCATGTAGTGTCCTCCATAAGAATGTGAAAAAGGGTATATAAATATACAGGAGGAAAAGTAAAATGAATTGTAAAATCCTTGTGGTTTTATTTTGTGAATATATAAAAATAAATGTGAATATATCTTTGTTTCATTTTTTTTATTAATTTATTTCGGATAGCAATTATTCTACTAATTATAATTATAAAATAGAAATTCATCACTTGTTTTAAATTTTAAAATCCCCCCCCCCCTCCCCAACCAGTCCACCTAATGATTCAATCATGTGACCTAGTTGAACTGCCATAGCTAACCGACTCAAATAAGAGAAGTCAAACTTAAAATCTTATAGTTACCAAACTATTTAATTTTCCGTACTATAGACTAATCCACATTCGCACTGAGTTTGCCCAATCAAAGGGCAAAGTGCTGACCAGATTGATTTTTTCATACGAGATAAGGTTCAAACTCCCGACCTCTCTTTAAGAGATGAGAGTGCACAACCACACACGCCAACTAAGCTGATTTTTCTTATTTAATTTTAATTTCTCCATTGGCATGCAAATTATATAATTTAATTAGAGGGCATGTGCATTAAAAATATACAAACTTCTGTTCTTATTTCATCATACTCTACAAATTAAACACACGTTTTTAATTTTCTGCCCCTAAAAACATCTCAAAAGCCAACTTCTTACGTATACGCTTTGATAATACATATAACAATAGTGCATTATATCATTCATTCTCTCTAATCCTTAGGATGGATATTGTTATTTTGGACCAAAAAGACCCACACATATTTTAGCATGAGTTATTGAGTTGTAATTAATAACAATTTAGTAACTTTTTAATATCACATGTATTCTTTTCAACCATTAACAATTCTAATTAATTCTTACATTATGAATACATTGTTACGAAATATTACTACGAAAATAATATTTCTTGAAAAATATAACAAGCACAAGAACGAAAGGAATTTTCTGGGTAGGTGGTTAGTACGAGTCATGCGAAGCACTTTTGCCTTAAAACACTGTTTTCCGTCTCCCAAGAGTGCTATGAGCGTTACGGCCTAGGTTTCCCAAGATAAAACATACTACGATTCCAAGTTAGAACAAAGGATAAACACAGGAGGATAAGAAAAGGAGTAGGAGCAGAGTTTCGAGAGAGAAAACAATATGATTCGTTGTTATTGTAAAAACTGCTGCTCTCCGTAATTGCTGATTTAAGACCCAGAGGGGGTTACAAGCAAATTGTTATGGCTCTGTTTTGGTCCGTCCGTAACTGCTGATTTAAGACCCAGGACGGTCGCTACTCGAGTCGGGTACTCGTTAGCTCCATTCTAGCGAGCGAGTTGATGGTTGAACAAATGGCTCTATGTTGGAGAGAGCACGGGCTCGCGTACATGAGTCAAGCCTTTTCAGGCTCATTTTAGGATTTGATTTGCACCACTCCTGTGCACCAAAAAGAACCTATATGCTATACAATTCAATAAGCTTTAGAAAAACTCTTGTATAAATAGTGGCGCAAACCCACTTCTCAAACCAATGTGGGACAAAAGCTACTTTAAACTCTTTTCCTTTCATTTTTCCAACTCAAATGAGTCTACTTGAGAATCAATTTCTCATTTACCCATTATCCATTTTGAACGTACAATATATCAATCTCTTCGTCTAACTACGAAGAACCCGAATCCACTTTGACCCGACTCAAATCGGAAGTGGACCCCACTAATAATTGTACTACAAAATAGCCACTTAAAATGTCATTTTATGCTATGTTTTCAAACATATATAACAAAAATCCTAAAAGGAAAAAAATGCAATTTTAGTCTCTCAATTGTTCAGTGTTAGCGATTTTAGTCCCTGATTTTTTACCATGGCAATATACACCCCTAACTCTTTAAAAGAAGATGCATTTTTAACCCCCTAGAGTAACAAAACTATTAAACTCTATTAAAACTTTACGTAATAATACATGTATATTATAAAATGTTATTATCTTTGTTCTTTATAACATTGTTAGTTTAGTATTTCATCTACAAAATAGAGATTTGACAACATTATTCGCTAAATTTTCTCTGTTAAAATCATGTTTTTTTTTTTTTAATTTTATAAATGAAATTAAATATCGAGACTAAACAAGATTATAATTAAAGAAGAAACATTAAAAAACACTAAAGCACCCATCTACTAAGTAAAGTTTTAATACAGTTTAATAGTTTTGTTGCTTCATGGATTAAAATTGTAACTTTTTTGAAGAGTTATGGGTGTATATTGCAACTGTAAAAAGTTAGGGACTAAAATCTCTAGCAAGAAACATTTGAGAGACTAAAATTACATTTTTTCCATCCTAAAAAATGCTTTACTTTTTTCTTCATCCAAAATTGACTGAATCATCCACAAAGATCATCTCTAACGTATAGTAAGAACATATTGAGGCTAAAATAAACTCCAACTTGTAAGTTTTAATCTTTTAATTTATAAGTTATGACTTTCAATTCGTTCATAGCATTTACATTTTAATCTTCAAATTACATGTGATTATGAATATGGAGAGTACAATGACAATCTCTTGGTCATTAAGGAGAGTAGTGAACTGCAAAACTGAGATTAGATAGCTAAATTGGCGTTCATCATTTGTGTTATAAGCAATGGAGAAGAAGAGAAGAAATAAAAATGACCAAATAAGCCAAAATCTTGTGGTTTAGTGGCACGAAGTGATTTTTTTTAAATAGGAGGTCTTGGGTGTTCGAGCTCCAATGGAATGATGTTAACTTTTTGTATTCAGTAGGTTAAGAAAATAACTATGAATGGATACTATTTGATAACAGAGTGAGTACTACTCAAAAAAAAAAAATACCAAATAAGATATATAAATCTTGATCAAACACTACCAATAATATTTACAACAATAATCATGTTCAAATCCTCCCAAACACAATCGTAGACCTGTAGTCTAATGAATGTTGCTACGATACATGCATAGAGTGATAGAGGAGTTGCGGTAAGTAACCATTCAATTAGCACAAACATTAATCTCCTAGTAAAAAGTATTGTAAATATATTTTAGATTATTAATATTAACCTAATTTTAATTTAGGTCTAAAACAACTATAAACAACTAAACAAGTGCAATAGGCCAACTGGTCTAGTATTCTCACTTTATTGGGCCTTGCACCTAAACCCAAAAGCTGCAAACAGAATCTTTGTTATTCATCCCATCAACAGATTATCCAATAGAATCTATCAATCAATATCAAAGACCAAACTGTTACCAGAATGTTTGGAAAGTGGAATGTGCCCATTGTTATATCATGAACCAGTTCATATTGCATTGTAAATCTTGATTTAAATATTATGTGTCTGGTTTAGTATCCTGGAGGGGTCATATTTTTGAGAAAGTCTTGGCGCAAGCGGAGTGTCCATTTTTAATGGAAATCTATTCGGCTAAGGAAAGAAGGAAGCATAGAGCAAAATAAACAAAGAAAGTACTGCTAGGTTAATTAATACATGCAGCAGTTTACTTTCAAAAAAAAAAAAGTACAAATAGTATGAGAATACCCAAAAGATGATTGAAATAAATATAAACTGACCTTCAAAATATTTTATGAACATAACACTTAAAAACATAGGCAAACCCACGGAAGGAGCTAGCTAAGGCAAACTCAGTTAGGGGTGTTAGCGAACAGAGCTTTCGGCAAACTACTCGTGTTCGTGTTCGGTAAGCGTTCGTTTATGTTCGTTTGTTAAGGTAAACGAACATTAACAAACAAAATTTAGAGCTCGGTTAATAAACGAACAGAGCTTGAACAGTTCTAAGCTCGTTTGCTAAGAGATCGTGAACAAGCTCGTTTGTGTTCGTTTACTAATGTTCGTGAACAAACTCGTTTATGTTCGTTTAATAATGTTCGTAAACAAGCTCTTTTGTGTTCATTTAATAATGTTCGCGAACATGTTCACAAACATATATATTATATTATATTATATTATATTATATTAGTTATGTAGTTGTGTTGTTTGTTTGATTATTGTTCGTGAACGTAGATTATTTATTGTTCACGAACGAATTGTGATCATGAACATGTGCAGGTGTTTTTATATTAAGTGTTCATGAACGTAAATAAATATGTTCGTGAACGTGCTTGTTAATGAACATGTTTGTGAACGTGTTTGTTAACGTTAACGAACCCATTTGCAAACGTGTTCACGAACATTAACAAACATGTTCGTGAACATGTTCGTTAACGTTAACGAACACGTTCGTGAACGTGTTCGCGAACGTTAACGAACACTAACGAACGCTTAACAAACGAACACGAACAGGATTTTCAAAAACCTTAACAAACGAACACGAACACGAACACCCCAAATTCCTTAACAAACGAACACGAACAACCTCCGTTCGTTTATGTTCGGTTCGTTAACAGCCCTAAACTCAGTAACCCACGGAATGAGCAAGACAAAAATGAGCTCTGGCAAAAAATGGAGAATAAAGTAAAAAGAAAGAAGAAGAAAAAAATGGGTTTTCTCTTCTTTTTTTTGCTTGCTTCTTATTGCCCAAATGAAATTAATAAATTTGAGAGTTGAAGTGGAGTAGTATTTTTTTTTTTTTTTTTTTAAAGTGAAGTAGCAGGTCTTGAAAAAAGAGAAAGAAGAGTGAAAATCCACAAAAGAGGTACACATGCATTTAATATTTTACTGGGAAGCTCGAGGTAAGGAAGGGTCAAATATTTTGAGAAGGGTTCCACAGGGGGCCAAAAGAAATGTATTACTAAAAAAACATTTTTTGGGGGGGGTGGGGGCACGGCTCCCTGTACATTACATGTAACTTTGTACCTATCAGGGAGTATAAAACCCACAATCCCTACTTAACACCACAAGTACCAACCACGTAAGCCATTCAGATCTCTCGTGTACTAGAGGACGGGAAGCTCTACTTATGCATGTGGAGTGCGTTGGAAGTAAAGTAGTGGGGGGAGGGACACATGTATGGCCAAGATTGAAGACTAGTCGATGTTGTACATTTAATAACCATCGCCCAAAATAGTGCTTCCTTGATTGCCATCGCCTCAGTTAAAAGAGGGTCTTGTAAGCATCTGACAGAGTTATTCCTAGCGGCCAAGAAACATCCATTTCCATCATGCACAACAGCAGATATAAACCCCTCGTCCCTTCCTGGAAAAACAGCCGCATCAACATTCATGCGTATTATATCATTTGAACATTATTATAAATAAATAGGACCTATACTATTACTACTATTATTCTAAATAAATAGGACCCTGCAAATCTCGATTCAACATTATTTAGACAAGAATAAGAACGCTCGCAATTCACTCCTTTCGCTCTTAGCTTATTCCATTGTAGAGCATGACAATATCCACTTTCATACACCTTGTTCCAACCCACATTATACTCTTTGTCTAAATCCATCGATAATATAATCACCTCTAACTAGGGGTGTAAATGAGCCGAGCAGCTCGCGAGCGGCTCGGTCAAAGCTCGGCTCGAGCTCGGTCAAAATCGAGTTCGAGCCGAGCTCGAGCGGCTCGTTTAGTAATCGAGCTCGAGCCGAGCTTAGATATTCTAGGCTCGTGGCTCGTCGAGCCGCTCGCGAGCCATATAATATATAATATATAATACATAATATAATATAATATAATAATAATAATAATATATAAAAATAACAATTATAAATTAAAATTTTAATTTGAACTCAAAATCCCTAAAAAATTTCTATTATTTATGTATGGATAAAACAAAGTAGTTTGAATTTTAAATCAAAAGTATTAAATATGTCAAATTCAATGTCAAAATCGAGCTCGAACTCGAGCTCAAGATCGAGCTCGAGTTCGATCTTGAACAATCGAGCTGCTCGAGTCGAGCTCGAGCAACCCGAAAATTACCGAGCTCGAGCTCGAGCATCAATTCTCTAGTTCGATCGAGCTCGAGCTCGAGCTCAAGCCTACCCATGCTCGAGCTCGGCTCGACTCGTTTACACCCCTACCTCTAACCCAATGACACTCTTGACCCAATTTTTAAAGAAATTGCTCTAGCTAGGACAATGGTACGATGAATGAACAACTATATTTAAAACTCTCTTTTAATATTAGAGTGAGGTTGGAACCCCACCTCAAACAATCTGGAGATAATAAGTTTTACCAATTTAATCTAAAATTAGGATTAAGATTTTTATATGCTTAAACATTAAGTCAGGAATATAATATTAGGAAATGAGTTAATACCCAAAATGGTCTTCGACTATAATGATTTTTCTCAATTTCGTCCTAAATAACTTTGGTGACCTAATGTAGTTCTAGACTTTTGTGTTTTTGTTTAATTTAGTAATCCGTTTGTTTTTTCGTCCATTTGGTGTTAAATAGAGGGATAATCCAATAATTTTAATATTGACATCTCTTTACTCCTAGATCTACAAAGTGCAAAATCCTCTTTCTTTTACGAATTACTCCAAAATCCGCGAATATAAATTTCAGGAGTAATTCGTAAAAGAAAGAGTGATTTCCCACTTCGCAGGGCTGAGAGTAAAGATATGCGAATATTGAGATTACCGAATTGTCTCTTTATTTAACACTAATTTGACGGAATAATAAACGGAGGACTAAATTAAGCAAAAACATAAAAGTCTGGAACTACATTAAGTTACTAAAGTTGTTTAGGATGAAATTGAGAAAAACCGCTCAAGCCCTGTTTGGTAAAAAATTGGCCTATAGGCCAATTTTGGCTTATTTGACCACTATTAATTGTTTGATTTAGTTAAAAAATCAATATAAGTGTTTGGTTAATTAGCTTTTTACAACTCCAAAATGCTAAAATTCAAAAAGTTACTCCAAACAACTGTTTCAAAAAAGAAATTATACCAAACAGCTATCAGCTAACGGCTAATTTATCAAACATTTTTCTACAACAGCTAATTTTATCAACTAGTTATATCCTTTAATTAACACAATCAGCTAACAGCTATTTACCAAATAGGGCCTAAATCATTTTGGGTATGATAAACTTGGATTATCAAACCAAAAAGGAAAAGAAATCTGAACCCATCAATACGTTTTGGAGACTTAAAAAGTAAAACCCGTAACCTTCTCAAAATTGGAACCTATCAATACATGCATAGTTGCATACATCAAACCGTTTGTCCTAATCGAAACCGCCAACCGAACTTGGAAAGAAGGAAGGCACGGCGTCGTTTCATATCCGAACCCGGAAAGTACGTACACACGGCGTCGTTTCATGAGCGTTTCCAACTAGACTCCCTCCGTAACGCTATAAAAATATCGCCCACTCGTTCCAATTAGGGGTTTATTCTCTTCTTCTTCTTCTTCTTGTTCTTATTCTTCTCCTCTCTCTCTCTCTTAGGGTTTGCTTTCTCACTCTTCTAGGGTCTAGACGGATTCTCAATTTCTCACTATTCGGAAGTTCTGCCCTCAACTCCGCCATGGATCTAACGAAGAAACGCAAGGCCGATGAGAATGGCGCGGCGTATCCCGCCCCTAACGACATTATGGGAGCCGCCGTCGCCGGCGGTGCTCCTCCGCCGCTCGGCATTCTCAGCCCGGATGACGCCGATAGAATACTCGAACCCTTCTCCAAGGACCAGCTAATTTCAGTCTTGCGCAACGCTGTGCTACGGCACCCGGATATTCTGGAAGCCGTGCGAGCCGTGGCCGATGCGGATACGACTCAGCGTAAGCTCTTCGTGCGCGGCCTCGGCTGGGAGACCACTACGGAGAAGCTCCGTCAGGTGTTTTCCATATTCGGAGAGCTTGACGAGGCTATCGTGATTACGGATAAGAACACGGGGAAATCGAAAGGGTATGGTTTTGTTACCTTTAAGCATATTGATGCGGCTATTATGGCTCTTAAGGAACCGAATAAGAAAATTGATGGGCGTATTACGGTCACTCAGCTTGCGGCTGCGGGGAATTCAGGTAATTCGCAATCTGCCGATGTTGCTCTTAGGAAAATATATGTGGGGAATGTTCCGTTTGAGATTTCGTCAGAGAGGCTCTTGAATTTCTTTTCTACTTTCGGGGAAATTGAGGAAGGGCCATTAGGTTTCGATAAGCAGACTGGGAAGGCAAAAGGGTTTGCTTTTTTTGTCTACAAGACTGAGGAGGGGGCGAGAGGATCATTGGCTGAACCGATGAAGATGATAGACGGGCATCAGGTGGTGTGTAAATTAGCAACTGATAACAAGAAAGGAAAGCAGCCGAATATGGGACCTCCTGGTGGCCCTGGAATGCCAAATGCAGGGCATTCTGGAATGCCTGGAGAGGATAGAATGGGTGTTGGGTCCATGCCAGGGTCGAACTATGGGATTCCTGGAACTGGGATGGGGCCATATCCTGGTTTTTCAGGTGGCCCTGTTCCAGGAATGCAGCAGGCACAGCCACAGCCAGGAATGTTGCATCAGAACCCAATGAATTCAGGGATTGGTGGACCTGCTGGACCAGCCTATGGCAACCAAGGTCCGGGGTCTTATGCTGGTGGTGCGAGTGGCTATCCTGGTAGTGGTGGATATGTTGGGGGTGCTTCTGGGGATTTTGGTGGTGGCATGGGCAATGCTGCTGGGTCTAATATGTATAGGGTACCACCAAGCTCTGGTGGAATGCCTAGTTCAGGAGGTTACCCAGATGGTGGTAATTATGGTATGCCATCTGCATATCCCTCACAGCTACCACAGCCTGGGGCAGGCTCTAGGGTTCCCCCTGGTGGTATGTATCAGGGCGTGCCACCCTACTACTGAGGTAACCTTTTCATAACTTCTATTAATTCATGGATTCTAGTTGCAAATAGTAATTCACTGGAATATGCTTGATTGATTCTAAATCATATTGTTGGCATTGCCTGGTTGATGCACTTTCTGACCTTGCTTGGGTTGTAGTTTCTCAACAAGTTATCGTCTCTTGTTGGTAGCATTTCTTGCTCTCGTTGTGAACTGTGTTTTAGATGTGACATTTTCTCACAATTACATTGCTTGCTCCACCCACTTTTAAATATATGCATTATAAATATGTGAGGAATTATGAACTTCATGTTTTGCTTATTTTTTGATTTAATTCTTTTCTTCAGTCAGCTTCTGTTCTTATTTTTATTTTGTATGAACTTATCTTCCATTTAATTTAATTAATAGATCCTTCCCAACTGCTTCAATTCTTTGATTCATTCCTCTCTCTCTGGTGTGACTTGCATCCTATTTCTACATTCTTCTCTCCCTTCTTATATGCGCACATGTATCTGTCAATATCTCATGACTATTACTGTCAATTTCTGTTTGATTCATCTCTTAATGTGGTATTATTTCTGTTTGTTTTCTTAATGATCTGGCTTACTAATGTTTGTTTTCTGCCTGCAAGAACTTGTTCTATATGCTTGGGTTTTGAATGATCGAAATATAAATGCGTATCTGTCAGGTGTTTGAGAGCTTCTTGGGAGCACATGCTTTATATGGTTATGGTGATTTCCTGATTGCAGACACTGAAATCTTACGTGATAAATGGACTGCTCTACCTCTGTTGCTGCTTCACCTATCTGCTCCTATAAGTTGTGGACTTTGTGGCTCTAGTTGATCTTTGCTAGTATTAAGTTAGGAGTTACTTTGAAGAGTTTGCTGTATCTGGTGTCAAACAATTTGATGGATTATTTCCTTTGTTTTGTTACCTAATATAGCTGTTACTTGTACTAGTATGTTTTGCCTCCTATATTATGCTTGTTTTGCTTTCAGTATATTATTTTGGTACTTGACTTGTATTTTGGAAATAGGAGTTGATGACTTCTTTTTTACTTGGTTGCATCTATCTCCGCCATGCTCAATTGCTTACTAGTTGGTAATTATGTCTGCCAACTATTTACATGTATTTAGGGAATAAAGTTCTTTACTTTGTTTCTTTATTGTGTGGCATTAATCCTCTGTTGGACAATTAAAAGTTAGAAGTTGCATACAGGTTTTTGTATGCTACCCAAGGTGTCTTTTAGTATGCTATTCGTAGCTACCTATAAAAAGAAGTTAATTAGAGTATAGATAATGACAAAAACTAGTAAGATTACAACACCTTTGTATTGTTTATTTTACTTTTGTGTTGTTAGATTGGCGTGGACATTACAAAAATGTGTGCCGTTTAGTTGATGTAAAATTGAATTGTTTTCTGGTTTTGATTTTGGTTTCTCATACATAGTAAGATTGCTTCTTGTGGACCCCCTATGAAAGGGGAAACCGGAACTTGTTGATTGTTATTTGAGATGCGTGGTTGTTCCTCTTAGAAGAGGGAATTGCTGGCTTTATGTATTCTTACTGTGAACGAGGAAATATTTCACCTTGTTTTTTCCTCGGGAATTTGAATAATGTGGCATGTAAGTTGGTACCTGAGCATAATGTGGTAACATGTCCGATTTGCTTGGTTGGTGTTTCCATTTAAACAGAGTGATCTATCTTTAAATTTAAAGGTTAAGATTTTTAAGCCTTTCCTTTTTTTTATTGTGTGCCCACCCTCTACCAAATGAGGTGATGGGTTGTAGCAATGGAAGAGATCTGGACAGTCAGCTAGCCTGCTCTGATCATTACCCAAATGGCAGTGGCATTTTCGACTTGCACAAGGTGAGTGTTTGCCAAATGGAGCTTATCTTGGGTGCTATTTGGATTGGATGGGTTCACTTTGTTTACGGAATTGTAAATACCAAAAAGAAAATCTCCTTCCTATATATATATAATATATATATAAGCTGTGTAGTAGTTGGTTTGTATACACACTCATTCTTGTGTGAGCCATGAATGGAACTTAGCAGAATTCGTTTACTTAGTTTTTTTTTTTTTTGCAAGTTTCTTTTATTGCATATTACACTGGTAACCGCATTCTCCAGAGAACATGCATCACAACTGGTATCCGCATTCTCTAGACTCCAGACTTCCTCTAATATTGCATACTATAAGTATCACAACTTGTTGAAACTATACCATTTGATCCATAATACTGGTATTCTTTTACAAGTGTTGATACTTATAGAGGTATCAACTTTTATTAAGGCTCGAGCTCGATAAACAATAGGTAGGCTCTAGCTTGAGCTCGAACGAACTCAAAAATTGGAGCTCGAGCTCTGCTCGGTTAAGAAATGAGCCGGCTTGAGCTCGAGTTGAGCTTTGACCGAGCGGCTCGATTATAAATAAATATATGTATATATGTATGTATATGGCTCGCGAGCGGCTCAACGAACTACGAACCTAAAACATTTGAGCTCAAGCTTGACTTGATTACGTAATGATCTAGCTTGAGCTCAAAGTTGACTGAGCTTTGACCGAGCAGCTCGGTTCATTTACACCCTTACTAAAAACCATGTTTTGTTCTTTGTCTTATTCATCTTCAAGAAAAAAGGACCAGGCAGAGGAATTTAATAAGGTAGAGTTAATTCCTTTTTTTGGTCCTGGACTTATAGTGGCATGGACAGTTTTAGTCCTCCATAAAAAAATTGAACAATTTATGGACACTTATTGTGGCGATAAAAATTTTGGTCCTCCGTTTATTATCTCGTTAGTTGACCGTCTAAATGAGGGCATTTCTGTCAATTCAGCATATTCTTTTGATCCTATGCATAAACGATGTTGTTTTGCCGGTCGCTCACTGGCGAAGAGGTTGAGAAGCGAGAGTGCAATCGAAGCAAAGGCAAAGACGACGACGCGATCATCTGTTCCTCGTCGTTTGATGGGTTGTTCAAACAAAATCGCCGCGACGCTCGTTCAAAAGGGTTTGGCGATGACCTTGAAGATCTCAGTGGCGATGAAGATGGTAACAGGAAAGGGCTCGATGATGACCTCGAAGATCTCAGCAATTCGAAGACCCCGACAACTCAGATTAGATTGCGAACAGCCAAATGTTTGCGATCGGTCAAAGAATCGTCCGATCATGCGAATTGCGGCGTCTCTGGAATTTCTTCGGGCGGAGCTACGATCGGTGCTGCATCTAGAAGGGGAATTGCAGGTTGGATCTCTGAATCGTAGAAGTGTTTTCTCTGGAAGAGGATTGTAGGAGGGTTCGGCTGCGAAGTCAAGCAATGGCGGATGTAAAGTGATTTTGGTTCGCGAAGTGGACACCAGATGGGGTAGGCAACATAGATTCTCCATTGACTTTGGTATGGACCCAATTGCCTTTTCTACTTGTTCATCTATTTAATTTTGAGATGCTTAACCGAATATATGAGCCGATTGGAAATGTCGTAGCCTTAGACTCGGCAACCATCAGGCAAACTAGGACGAGCGTGGCCAAAGTTAGAGTAGAAATTGATGCCTCTAAACCTTTGATTGATCGAGTTTGGGTGTAAATTGTTGGAGGTAAAGGGGAATTGAATGGATTTTGGTAGAGGATTGATGTGGAGAAAGTGTCGGCATATTGCTTTAGTTGTGGCCGATTTGGTCATGCTATGGCAGAGTGTCAAAGGATGAGTCGAGAAGGAGAAGGCGATGGGAGGAGACGGTGGAGTTGCCTGTGGTCAAGGACGGTAATCGGGATGTCATCACCCTATAACTACCCATTTGGAATGGTAATCGGAATGTCATCACCTTTGAATAGTGTAAACAAAGGCGGCCATGAGAGCACACAATATTCTAAAGATGTCACAAAAAAGCAAGAATTCCGTTGTAGTCTAGTTGGTCAGGATACTCAGCTCTCACCCGAGAGACCCGGGTTCGGTTCCCGGCAACGGATACTTTTTTTTTTTTTGTTTTGCACTGGAACCTTCACGGCGAAGGGAAAAAAAACATGAAGTAGCGTTAACACATATTGGGGTGAGAGAGGCTCGTACTCTTGACCTCAGGATCACTAAGCTATGAGACCTACGCGCTAGCCAACTGCACCACCACCCCATGTTGTGCTGTTGCTTTTAAATAAATATTTATTATAAAGGATATACTGGCACTGGGTTTTTACTTTTTAGAGCAAAGGTATTAGTAATAATGTGAATAGATTAATGAGGGGAATTAATATAGCTTATTAAAGAATGGTATAACCTTTGTTTATACTTTTTTTTATTATTATATTTAAATAATCATGATTCTGTATAATGTAGTATCTGTTCTATAGTTTTTAAAATATTTTTCAGTCCAAAGAATCTAAGTCCCCCATCACGGGGGTTCAAACCTATAACCACCCATTTAGAATGATAACCGAGATGTCATCAAACTATATGGTACTTGCCAGCCTTTGTTTACACTAGGCTACCATGAGAGCACACTCAAACCTTTTTGAAAGAGAAGTTAGGAAGAAGAAAATCAAAGAAGGGAAAATATCATTTTTAAGGTTTCCAAACATCTTATTTGTGGTCTCAGCTGTGCTCTCTGCTCTCAAATCTTTGTTCTCTGTGCCTCTTCTTTATGCTCCACCTTGGGGTATAGGGGATAGTCTAACTTATACCACAATTCTCTATTGTATCATTCAACCTATCAATCTTACGAAATGTCAATTATGCTTAAGCACTATCATACACTTAGGGGGTGTTTGGTTCAAGTTATCTAAGATAATAAGGGTTATATTTGGTTAGTTATTATGTAACATTCCTATGTTTGGTTGGGGTTATGTAACATTTCCATGAAATCAAAGATAACTTCCACATCAGATTTTTGAGGGAATGTGACTCCCCCATCTTCCTTACATCACGTTATTCCCTTAGTTATATAATCTTGTAAAAATAAATTATCACCTTTGTAAATAAAAGATGAAAATTTAAACCCTTTGGACAAAAAAATTAAAATAAAGTCTTTTGAACTTCATATACATGACATATGTTAATAGTATTAAAGTAAAACAACCATTATAACACACACACACACACACATATATATATAACCTAAACAACAGGGTATGTTGCTTCCATGGCCACTCCACATTGCCCCCCTTCTTTATTTATCCCTCTAGCCAACCTCATGTACCCTTTCTCCCCCCACCTCGTCCCCCATGAATTCTTTAACACCCAATACTCCTGCTTATCACCATGGCTAACTCCATACCCAACCACAGTCCCACCAAGATCCAGCGTCGTCCCACAATCCCCGGAGAACACACCGCCTGCGTAGAACTGGAACTCCGGCCCCGACGCGTCCACATAAACCGCCACCGGCTGCTTAGCCACGGCCTTCATCAGAGCGTTTTCGTCGCCGGCCGGCACGGTCTCGTAGCCGCTGATTTTGGCCACGGGCTGTGCTTCCTTCTTGGCGTTGCAGGTGCCGTTGGTTCCGGTAGAAGGATAGTTGGATTGAGTGGTGAGGCCGTGGTTTTTGATGAATTCAAAAGCCTCGATTGTGAATCCTCCGGTGCAACCATCGCTGCAGCCATTGATGCAGTCCACTATTTCCTGTACTGAGAGTGTGTATAGTTTTCCGGTCTTGATCTTTGTTATGGCTTCCACTGTATCAACCGCCGGAAATGTCCATGCTCCTGCATATATACATATATATTTAAGGGTGACTAGCCATTAGTTACTATTTAAGGGTATACATGGAGAAAATTCTATTATAAGTTGGTCAATAGTTGTTTGGTAACAACAATGTTTCAATTCAAATTTGTCTCTTCATGAGCACGGTTTAATAACCTTATTAATTTGAGTTCATCAACTATGGATAACTTAGTTTGCTTGGTAACAACAATAATGTTTCAAATTTGAGAGCCATTTAATCCCCACCTCCCCAAAGTCAAGGATGGGAAAACAATTTTTTTAAGCGACGAGAAAACTGTTAGTCACTATATGAGAATTTGCATTGGATAAATGACATCAAGTTGTTTAGATAGTTGCTTGATAACAATAATGTTTCAAATTCATCTCCTCATGAGAGCCATTTAATCCTAACATCCCCAAAGTCAAGGATTGAGAAAACAATTTTTTGTTTGGGTAACTATGAAATCATCCGTTAGTATTTGAGAGTGTGCACTAAGTCAAACAGTCTCTTGGTAACAACAATATTTCAAATTTGTCCCCTCATGAGAGTGATTTAATGACCTTCTCGATTGGAACAGGTCAATTATGATAACCTAAGCTGATGTAACTCATTATGATCCTACTGACTAAAGTTACCAACACCCACAATGTACCTTCCAATATTTACTGTACGCTTTTAAGAAAAATACTACACATGTATTCCAATTCTATACTCCCTACTTTTACTTACGTACTTAAAATAATGATGTAGACACTTTTACAGGGGCCCACATGAAAAAAAATAATCTATCAGAGCCCGCTATAAAGAAGTAAGATTTGGGAGTACATGTAGTAAATAAAAACACTGGAAAAACTTACCACATTCACCACCTCGTATAGGTGTAACAGCACCTTTCTTTCTCCAATCAATGCTAGGAGGAATGGCACCGGAGATGTCGTCGTCGTATCTGAAGGTGTTCATTTCCGATGACTTAGCTGCTGCAGAAGGTTTGAAGGCTCCTCCGATGTAAGCTGCCCGGAACTCATCGTTGGTCAAGTCGGCAAATCCATTGATTCCAAGCCTGTACGGCCTGTTTCCAGCACCATTCACCATGTCGATGAACTCAACATTAGACTTGAAGATTCTGTAACGCTTCTCCTTCTCTGCAACGCCCTCGTATTGCCGCCCATAGCTCGCCATCCACTGCTCGTGCCTTTCCGCCATGGAAGCAGCTCCCTGGATTGCCCGAGACGTAGCTTGGGAAACCCAGACACTGCAGAGTATAATGGTCAAGATTGTTCTGAAAATCTGCCATTTTAACTCCATCATCGCCTGTGCTCTCTAGCTAGCTAGGATTACTGCTCAGTACTCAATGAATATTTGTTCTTTCTTGAGAA